GGAAATCGTGACTCGCTCTCGCAGTACACTGACTACTTTGTGAGTGCTTTTTTTAAAGCTGTGACATCCATAATCGACGAATATGACTTTATTTTTGTAAGATCTTTTCTTTAAATGGGTTTCTAGATCGAGAACGTCTCCGAGTTGCCTGGACTCATCAACAACAAGATAAACGAGGACACGAAACGAGGATAGAGGAGAAATAAGGATCTTGAAAGGATTCTAAAAGGATCCTGAAAGAATTCTAAAAGATTTTCTAACATTCCTAACATTGCCGAGAAGCTAGTTTCGTTTTCCCCAATCCACTGTGTAAAAAAAAGCGATTTTCTTAATCGCGACCGTCATTTATGAGTTTTTAGAGGGCTGTCGGACGTCACCAATGGCTCAGTCGGTTAGAGGTTTGGTTGGGAGTCGATCAACCCTGAGAGACCAGCTGGGTTCGATCCCAGCCTCGGTCTTTTTCGGAAATTTTTTGTCGGAAACTAATTCCAATCAATTCTAAGCCATTTGTGACATCCAGAACCCCCAATTTTCTTCTTTTCATTGATCTCTTTAGTTTAATTAAAGAAAAAAACCGGTAGTCTTGAAAATTTCTAGTCAAAAATTGGATTTTCAATGTTTAAAGCAAGTTCAAACCAAAATCAACTCCAAATCAATTGCATTACAATCAATCCCCCAATTACAATCAATTCTTGATCTCGTAAAGCCAAATTTCAACCGATTTTAGCGATTTTTTTTTGTGATTAGTTTTGTGCTTGATTAAAGAGAAATTTAAAAGTGCTATTTTTTTATTTGATGACTTTTTGATCCTTTTTCTTCATTAGAATACTTTGTACATAGAGATTTCTTTTGGAAAATCCCATTTTCTCCTTGAATTCTCCATTTTCGATGAAGCATTCCGTTTTCGTGGCACTCGGTTCGTCACCTCTCCAGAAAACTTGCAATAATAAAGTTTCTTGTGAAAAGTTTTCAAAGCAATGCACAATCTGGATGTCACACAAGAGAATAAGCATCAATTTATCGTACAATAGCATCAAATTGGTCAATCGTTTTCTCGTCGGTTCGTTACCCCTTCAGAAAACTTGTAATAATAGAGTTTCTAGTGAAAGTTTTTTAAAGCAATGCACGATCTGGATGTCACACAGGAGGATAAGCATCAATTTATCGTACCCTAGCATCAATTTAGTCAGTCGCTTTTCTGTCAGTTCATTACCCCTTCAGAAAACTTGTAATAATAAAGTTTCTTGTTAAAACTTTTGAAAGCAATGCACGATCTGGATATCACAGAGTACGATAAGCACCAATTTACGGTACCCTAGCATCTTTTTTCAGATACTGTCCCATAGCTGTCAGCTGCCAGAGGTGTACTTTGTACTTCCGCGTAAACAATCGCCTTCTGGCACAAAGCAATGCTCAATCTGGATATCACAGAGTACGACAAGCACCAATTTACGGTACCCTAGCATCAGGTTATTCAATCGTTTTCCTGTCAGTTCGTTACCCCTTCAGAAAACTTGTAATAACAAAGTTTTTTCTGAAAACTTTTAAAAGCAATGCTCAATCTGGATATCACAGAGTACGATAAGCACCAATTTACGGTAGCCTAGCATCTTTTGTCAGATACTGTCCCATAGCTGTCAGCTGCCAGAGGTGTACTTTGTACTTTCGCGTAAACAATCGCCTTCTGGCACAAAGCATTACCCGATCTGGATGTCACAAAGTACGATAAGCACCAATTTACGGTACCCTAGCATCAATTTAGTCAATCGTTTTTCTGTCAGTTCGTTACCCCTTCAGAAAACTTGTAATAATAAATTTTTTTGTGAAAACTTTTAAAAGCAATGCTCAATCTGGATGTCACACAGTAGGATAAACATCAAGTTTTTTTCTCCTTGTCCATTCTCCTCACCAATTTCAAATAGACTCAGATATTTTATGAGAAAAGAGAAATTTCTTTGTTTTATCAAGAAAAGAGGTTTTCTTCTTCGCTTTCTTTTTCGTTTACTTCAAGTGAAACCGATTTGTTGATTGGAACGACGAGATTTTCTCTCTTTTCTCTTTTTTCCTTCATTTTTTGTCATCATCAAGATCTTTCACTTTCTCCTTTTCACTCACTTTCATCAAAACGATGTCTAGCGTTTATTTCTTCCACCATTGGTTGTAGTGCGCTCCAGAACGGTCAAAAAATAACTTTACAACGGGAATTTATAACAGAAACAATTTGAAACAAGTTGGGTAACAAAATTGAAATCAATCGCTATTTCAAACAATCGTCAAACGCTTATTTCTGGAGTCATTCTCTGTTGTGACTGCCAGAACGATAAGAAATCAAGAATTCAGAAGAGATTTTCGTTGTTAAAATGATTTTAACGCAACCAACATGAACAGCTCTCAAACAATCACTTTTTTCGATTTAATTTGCAATCATTTCTCACGTTAATTCGTTTCTTTCTTTTCTTTCTCTCTTTTCATTCATCAAGGTCAATCGAGAGGCTTAGGCTCAGCTTTCAGTTCTCATTCATTCAGTCATTCCATCAGTCAGTCAATTCTCAAGCCTTGTCTTTCTAATCTCAACTCTAACCTTCGATTCTTTCAAGTTCTCCTAGCTCAATAATCTCTTTTTTTAGCGATTCTAAGATAAGATAGAAGATAGAAGACCGTTTCTAGTCTTTCTTAGCTCTTTTTTGACAATTTGAAAATTTTTGACTGAGACCGGAATCGAACCCAAGCCAAGTAGCTGGCGTTCGCCTGGAAACATCGATTTCCCCACTGCGCCATGCCGTCTAGGTTCTCAATTCAATTTTTAAATAGCAGAAAATTTGACCTGCGTTCCAGATTAGAAACTGCCAAAATCTTGAGATCGCTAGCTTTCTAGAAAATCGTTTTCCTAGGGTGAAGTTGACTTCAGCCCGATTTCTCCGTCATTTTCAAATGTTTCTCAAATATTTTAGTATATTTCACTGATCTGGAACGCACATGAGATTTTGGATAGCAAAATCGAAATGATTACCTTACAGAGACTGATGTGTCAGAGCCGAGCGGACTTCAGCTCCGATTTCTCCGTCATTTTTAAATGTTTCTCAAATCTTACCGACTATTTCACTGATCTGGATGGCACATGAGACAATTTTCCATTTCATTTTTGTCATTTTTGAGCTTTGAAAAGTTTTTGACCCAGCCCGGACTCGAACCCGAGCCAAGCAAGAGGCTTTCGCCTGGGAACGTCGATTTTCCCACTGCGCCATGACGTCGATGTTCTGAATTTAATTTTTAAATGGCGGAAAATTTGAGCTGACTTCCAGATTAGAAACTGCCAAAATCTTGAGATCGCTAGCCTTCTAGAAACTTGTTTTTTAAGGGTGAAGAGAAAAAGTGACCTCTAACATCTCAAAAATCGTCAAAAATTCGCTCAAAGCTCAAGCAAATCTTGTAAATAAACCGTTTCCTAAACAATTCCCTTCAGAAGAAGCGCTTTATTAAGCTTTTATTAAGCTTTTATTGAGCTTTTATTGAGAACGATTTTTGAGATTTTTGATTTTTCGGTGATTTTCTCAATTTTTTTGCGATTTTTGAAAAATCGTTCAAAACACTTTCCCAATTTTTCCTCTTCTCGTCCTTGAAATCTAAAAATGACAAGAGAAAATGACAGGAGAAAATGACAGATTTTTCCCAAAAATTCCCCCAACTTTTCTCCTTTTTTTTTTTGTGAAAAGAGAGATCTTTTGTCTCATTTCTCCCTCTTTTTCCCATTGTCGAATGATTTTTTCCCATTTTCCCCATATTTTTTTGATCGTTTCCCTATCTGCCAACATTTTTTAAATCAATTTTTGACAAATAACGTCATTTAAAAGTCATTTTAGCTTTTTCTAAAAATTTTTGACCCAGGCCGGACTCGAACCCGAGCTAAACAGTCAGTGTTCGCCTGGAAACATCGATTTTCCCACTGCGCCATGTCGCCAATGTTCTGAATTCAATTTTTAAATGATGGAAAATTTGAGCTGAGTTCCAGATTAGAAACTGTCGAAATCTTGAGATTTTTAGTTTTCTAGAAACTTGTTTTTTAGGGGTGAAGTTGACTTCAGCCCGATTTCTCCGTCATTTTCAAACGTTTCTCAAATATTATAGTATATTTCACTGATCTGGAACGCACATGAGATTTTGGATAGCAAAATCGAAATGATTACCGTACAGAGACTGATTTGTCAGAGCTGAGCGGACTTCAGACCGATTACTCCGTCATTTTTAAATATTTCTCAAATCTTATCGACTATTTCACTGATCTGGAACACAGATGAGCCAGTTTTTCATTTAATTTCTGTCATTTTTGCGCTTTGAAAAATTTTTGACCCAGCCCGGACTCGAACCCGAGCCAAGTAGCGGGCGTTCGCCTGGAAACATCGATTTTCCCACTGCGCCATGCCGTCTAGGTTCTGAATTAAATTTTTAAATGGTGGAATATTTGAGCTGCGTTCCAGATTAGAAAATGGCAAAATCTTGAGATTACTAGCTTTCTAGAAACTTGTTTTGTTAGGGTGAAGTTGACTTCAGCCCAATTTCTCCGTCATTTTTAAGTTTTTCTCAAATCTTATCGACTATTTCGCTGATCTGGAACGCACATGAGACAATTTTCATAAAAAAGTTCACAAAAAGATCCAAAAAAGAGCCAAACGATGATCGACTCACTCAAAAATGACATTTCACTTTTCACTCGTTTTTTTTTCGGAAAACGAACGCCACCTGTTTCTATTTTGATGTGCCAAACCGTCTGCGTTTACGAGAAACCCCAATAGGAAACCCAATTTTTGTTAAATTGTATGATTTTCTCTTTTCTCAAAGCCTTCCCAACACTTGCTCGCCCCCAATGAGTCACTTCGGCCCGATTTCTCCGTCGTTTTACAACTTTTTCCAACTTTTTTCTAACTTTTTTGCTGATCTGGAACGCACACAATTGTTTGAATCAAAAAATTTTCGATTATCTAAAATTTAAAATTTTTTCAGCAATGGGCCGCTTAGTGTGGCTCATTTTCGCGATTTTTCTCGCATTTTCACAAAAGTGCCAAGGGAAAATCGAGGAAAACGACGTAAATGAGGGGTTTGTTTTGTCACTTTTCTTCATTTCTTTGAAAGAAAAACGATAAAACCGCTTTTTTTTTTTGCCATTTTCGGCATTTTCGACCGGTTTTTATCGAAAAAAATGAAAATTTGACGTTTTTCAAAAAATCAAACCCAAAAATCAAAACATTAAACAGATAAAGAGAGAATTTACAATATGTAAATTCGTTTGCTCGCTTTAATAGATCAACTTTTAGACCCTTTAAAGTGTATCGAATTGTGCCGACCACCGGGTGGCAGCTCGAGGAAATGATTCGAATCTTTGAAAATGCTGACTCTGAGGTAAGGCTTTTTTTCTTAAAGCCAAATCAAATTCAAATCAATTCTAGTCAAAAGAAAGTAATCAAAGATCGAAAAATATCAAATTTCGATAGCTAGAAGCTCAAAAGCTAGAAGCTCGAGCTTTTAGCTCAAATTTGAAAGAGTTTAACTGAAAAAGTGAAAAGCTACCAGTGAAAAGTACCAAAATTTCGAAAGTATTGCTCATTCTGGATGTCACAGCGTACTTTAGAGTCCAATTTACGTATCTTGACTGGCTTTTTAGTACTGCACTTTGGCTTTTGGTTGTTCAGAGGTGTACTTTGTACTCAACCGTAAAAAGTACCAAAATTTTAACGGTAATGCTCATTCTGGATGTCACAGCGCATTGGTCCATTACGACCGCTTAATGCTAGTCATTGGTGTTCAGAGGGTACTTGTACCTCCCGCAACAGTACCGAATTCAAAGTAGCCATTCTGGATGTCACAGCGTACATTGGAGTCTAATTTATGGTGTCTTGACTTAGTTTTTTACTACTGCAATAGCCAGTCTTTGCACAGTGGTGTATTTTGTACTGTCGTAAGGTATTTCAACCATATTGCGCATTCTGGATGTCACCGCGTACTTTAGTGTCCAATTTACGGTACCTTGACTTGACCCTGACCATGGCCTAGCTCTGCTCGATCCTGACCTTACCGATTTTGACCCTGGTTTGGCCCAAAAGTAAAAAGCATCAAAGGTATTGCTCATTCTGGATGTCACAGTGTACTTTAGAGTTGAATTTACGGCGCCTTGTCTTAGTTTTTTTGTACTGTACTAGCTAGTCTGATCTTTCTGAAGTGTTCTTTAGCCGTTCAGAGGTGTACTTTTTGCGTGTGCGTAAACGCATGCCTTCTAGCACATGCGTGCCTTGTGCCTTCTCCGTCTCCCTCCCCGCAGCCCGGTTTAATTACCCAAGAAATCAGAAAACTCTCTAGAATCGTCAAAATTGAAGGAATTTTGCTGAAAATTTGGGAATTTTGGTTTTTCGAGATGGAGAATTTGATGGTAATTTTAGGAAGCAGATTTCTGGCATCCTCCTTCGGTCGTGAATCAAACGGTTGATGTGATGGTTTCACCGAAAAACACACGATTTTTCGAGAAATTCCTCCAAAATGGCAGTTTTCCTTTTGAAATTGCGATAAAGGATTTGAAAAAGTTCGTTTTTAAACAAAAGAAATTATCGAATTAATCGAATTAATCGAATTAATCGAAATTTATCTTTAGAAAACTTATCGAAAAAGAAGGCGACGAGAAATTGTCGCGTTTCTCCCGATCGGGTTTCTCCCGATCGCGCAGGATTTTCGTCGAGAAAATTATGAGAGATGGGCCGGGCAGTGGACTGGTCATGGGCGAATATTATGGGTAGGGTTCTTGCTGGGTTCAAGCTGGGTTCAAGCCGGGTTCAAGCTGTTGCTAAGCGTCATTAGGGACAGTACAAGGCTTAGACTTGTTTCTGGATTGGATCTGGATGGATCTGGATCTAGATCTGGTTCTAGTTCTGGATCTAGTTCTAGTTCAGGTCTGGTTCTAGTACTGGTTCTAGTTCTAGTTCTAGTTCCAGTTCTAGATGACTGGCTAGTATTGGAAATTCAGCTATGCGACGATTGTTGATTGGATGAAGAGAATCGCTGATCGGATGCCGAGATTGGCCTCGATTCTGGAGATTGGACGATCGGCTGAGGGCAGGGGCATCTTTGGGATCAAGGTTTGTAGCTGGGGTACTCAAAATTCTGAAACCAAAATCCAGCTGGGTCACGACGATGGCCGTAAACCGATTGTCGTCATCGATGCTGGCATTCACGCAAGGGAATGGGCGTCGATTCACACGGCTATGTATTTCATCAATTTGGTCAGTCGCTTCAGCCATTTAATTAGGCAGTCCAGCTCTGGCTCTTCTCTGAATCGGGTAGCATGCGTTTACATGAGCACAGTACCTAAAAAGACCGAAATTTCAAAAGTATTGCACATACTGGATGTCACAGTGTACATTGGAGTTCAATTTACGGTACCTTGACTCATTTTTTAGTACTGTACTTTGGCCTTTGGCTGTTCAGAGGTGTACTTTGTACTCCCTCGTAAAAAGCGTCGAAATTTCAACGGTATTGCTCATTCTGGATGTCACTGCCTACATTGGAGTGCATTTACGTACCTTGACGTAGTGTTTAGTACTGTGCTAGCTAGTCGTTGGCTGTCCAGAGGTGTTTTTTGTACTCTCCCCGTAAAAAGTACCAAAATTCTAAAGCTATTGCTCATTCTGGATGTCACAGTGTACTTTAGAGTCCAATTTACGGTACCTTGCCTTAGTTTTTCTCTAGCTTATTTTTCGTGTACTGTACCATAGCTTTCAGCTTTCTAGGTGTACTTTGTGGTGCTCCGTAAACGTGTGCTTTCTGGCACACTGCTCTTCCCGTCTCTTAACAGTCTTTTAGATGGCAAACGGTCACGATTCTGATCCTTGGATTCGATCTTATTTCGACAACATTGTCCTCTACATTCTGCCGGTTTTAAATCCTGATGGCTACGAGTTCACGAGAAACGATCGAACAAATCCGAGGGTTTCTTTTTTGAATCACTTCGATACAGTGTTCTTGATCTTCTTGATCTTGATTTCTAGCTGAAATCTAGCTGAAAATTTGCAGTCAAGAATGTGGAGGAAATCACGATCTCAACAGCGTTGTGCTTGGGATGGACAGTCGACAAAGTGTTGCCATGGAGTGGATTTAAATCGAAATTTTGACTTCAGATTTGGCGGTGAGCTCTTTCTGTCTTTGGCCTATCTTCGGCCTGTCTTTAGCCCGTCTTTGGCCTGTCTTTTGGCCCGTCTTTGGCCTGTCTTTTGGCCTGTCTTTTGGCCTGTCTTTGGCCTATCTTTGACCTGTCTTTTGGCCTATCTTTGGCCTATCTTTGGCCTCAACTCATTTACGATTCTTTCAGAGGTGGGAGCCTCCCGGTATCCATGCTCGGAGATCTACCATGGAGAATCCGCGCACAGTGAGCCGGAGACAAGGTTGGTTTTAAGGCATCGAGCCTTTGTTGTAAAAGCAACAATAGCCTTTGTTGCTTTTAGAGCCTTCGCCAACTTTCTTATGAATCTCGGTGATCGCTTGAAGGGCTACATCACTCTCCACGCTTATTCCCAGCTCTGGATCTACTCCTACTCGCATCGCAAATTTACATATCCAGCTAATATTGAAGAGATTGTGAGTCTAGAATACTGTAGAATACTTTATGGTTGTAGATTCCTGTAGCATACTGTAGCTAATCATCTTACTGTAGCCATTACTGGGTTACTGTAGCCATTACTAGCAATCTAGCCCTTACTGTTGCTGAGCCAATCCGAATTTCAGCGCAACGTTGCAGCTCGAGCTGTAGCGGCACTTGGACGAGAGTTTGGCACTCGATATCAATATGGAACCGGACCCGAAATCATTTGTAAGTTCTACGAGCTAGCTAAGCCTTAGGTCCAGGTCAGACTTAAGCCCAGAAAGCTAGACAGGACCCTGGCCCTAGCCTAGCTCTGCCCGATCCTGACCTTGCCGATCCTGATCCTGGATTGGCCCACAAGTAAAAAGTACCAAAGGCATTGCTCATTCTGGATGTCACAGTGTACAATGGAGTTCAATTTACGTACCTTGACTCATTTTTTAGTACTGTACTTTGGACTTTGGCTGTTCAGAGGTGTACTTTGTACTCTTTCGTAAAAAGGACTGAGATTTTAACGATATTGCGCCTTCTGGATGTCACAGCGTACATTGGAGTACATTTACATCCCTTCACTTAGTTCTATAGTACTGTACTATCTAGTCGTTGGCTGTCCAGGGGTGTACGCTGTACTCCCTCGTAAAAAGTACCAAGATTTTAACGGTATTGCTCATTCTGGATGTCACAGGGTACTTTAGAGTCCAATTTATGGTGCCTTGACTTAGTTTTTTACTACTGTAATAGCCAGTCTTTGTCCAGAGGTGTTCTTTGTACTCGCTCGTAAAAAGCGTCAAAATTTCAACGGTTTTGCTCATTCTGGATGTCACAGCGTACTTTAGAGGCCAATCTAGCCAACAAGCCAGGAATTCCTTTACCCATCCACTTTCTAGACGCCTTCTCGGGTGGTTCGACAGATTGGGCGACAGAAAAGTTGCGCGTAAAATACTCGTACACTTTGGAGTTACGACCGACATATGAAGGTGGGTGAAAGAGTGTTAAAAACTCTAACTAATCTCTCATAAGTCCGCTTCTTTTGCTCTTTAGCTGATTAATGAATGCCATAGCTACCAGGCCTAGGCTTCTTTTAGATCTAATCTAAGCCTAAGCCTAGCCTAAGCCTAGCCTAAGCCTAGCCTAAGCCTAGCCTAAGCCTAGCCTAAGCCTAGCCTAAGCCTAGCCTAAGCCTAGCCTAAGCCTAAGCCTAATCAGGCAGCTCTAAGCAGCTTCTCTTGCATCTAAATCCTCATGATCTCTCGATTCTTTTGAAGGAATTATAGAATGGAATGGTTTCGTGTTGGATAAACGTCAACTCATCCCGACTGCTAAAGAGACGTGGGCTGGAGTGAAAGTTGTCATTGATCAGATCATTCTGGAGTACAGGACAAAGATTGGTGAGTCTTTTGAAAAGGAATTATCAAATTATCAAATTTTTACGATTTTAACATTTTTTGTATGGAATTCTTTTGAAATCTAACTTTTTTCATTGATTTTTCTTTGCTACAGCTCGTGTTTTCCGTCAAAGAGTGAATGCTGGTAGAAGAAGGACATTTGGGAGAAGAGGAAGAAGAAGATTTAACGCGAAAAGAAGAAACCTATAAGAAGCTACAGTAAGAAGCAGAGATTCACTAACACAAAGCTTTAATTCAAGAATGGTAGTCAGAAACGTGCTAAAACTAGTACTAAATACAAAAAAATTTGTTTTTGTACCTTAAAAAAAAGTTTTGGCAGTGAGCGGATTCGAACCAGCACCCCTCAGATTTACAGCCAAGCGCACTAACCACTAGGCCACAAAAGCCACTCGGCCATTTTGCTTATTTTAAAGAACTAAAAGACTAGATAGATTCTGTGACATCCAGCTTGAATGAAAGACTTTTCAGTTTCACTCGATTTCTTTTTGTTTCTCTTAAAATCGCGCGAACTGAGAATGGCCGAAAAATAAGCCGAAAGAGAGAAAATTAAAGCGAAAGAAAAAGCTTTTCATCAGTCCTGGATGTCACTGAACAGTTAGCAATTATTAGTTCCTGAAAATAGATAACATTCTCGATGGTGCAGTGGGAAAGCCTTGATTTTCGAGGCGGACGGTCGCTGGTTCGACTCCGGTCACCGCCAAAAGTTTTAGCTTTCTGTAAAAAACGGTTTAGATAGATTCTGTGACATCCAGCTTGAATGAAAAACTTTTTAGTTTCATTCAATTCTCTTTTGTTTCTCTTAAAATTGCGTGAACTGAGAATGGACGAAAAATAAGCTGAAAAAGAGAAAATTAAAGATAAAGAAAATGCTATTCATAAATCCTGGAACGCACAGAATATTTAGCAATTATTAGCACCTTAAAATTGGCAACCTTTTTGATGGCGCACTGGGTAAAGCAAAGATTTTCCAGGCGGAGGGTCGCTGGTTCGAGTCCGGTCACCGTCAAAAGTTTTGGCTTTTTTTTGAAAAAACGGTTTAGATAGATTCTGTGACATCCAGCTTGAATGAAAAACGTTTTAGTTTCACTCAATTCTTTTTCGTTTCTCTTAAAATCGCACGAACTGAGAACACCAAAAAATAAGCTGAAATAGAGAAAATTAAAGATAAAGAAAATGCTATTCATAAATCCTGGAACGCACAGAATATTTAGCAATTATTAGTATCTGAAAATGGGCAACATTTTTGATGGCGCTGTGGGTAAAGCATAGATTTTCTAGGCGGAGGGGAGCTGGTTCGACTCCCGCGGGCCCCCATCGATGCTAAATTTGAGCAGTTTCTTAGCTAGCCCTTCTTTAGCTACTTCTGTAAGGCCAAAGCTACTTCTGTAAGGCCAAAGCCAAGCTCCAAATTTTGTCCTTTTGTTCATTTCCCATACTCCAGCTACAATAACTAAGCTAGATCGCATCAGCACAAAGATGCCAGGTTCTTGACTCGCCAACCCTTGCTCTCGATTGACTGTCTTTGTGTCTTTTTTTGGGTTAAGCTTGGCTCAAGTACTGGGCAAATTCTATTAGATACTATGGAATATAAATGCGTTTTCTGGGTGCTTGACTTGCGATAACGTGAGACGAAAAATGGATCCTTTACGACAATCGGAAGCAAAATTCGGAATGATTGGATAAAGAAACTCCGACTTCTTTTCCAAAACATTTCCACTCACCGTGGAAAGCGGCCAAAGCATTGCTCGAAGGTCTACATGCAACAAATGCAATGGAAACGTATGGGAACCTAATGAGAACCTAATCTAAACCAAATCGGAACCTAATCGGAACCAAATCGAAACCTAATCAGAGCCAAATCAGAACCAAATAGATTTTGACAGGCTCAGGCCCAGTCCAGGCAACACCAGGGCCAAGCCCAGCCCAGGCAACAAGGGCCAAGCCCAGCCCAGGCAACACCAGGGCCAAGCCCAGCCCAGGCAACACCAGGGCCAAGCCCAGCCCAGGCAACACCAGGGCCAAGCCCAGCCTAGGCAACACTAGGGTCAGGCCCAGCCTAGATGAGTCAAATGACAGGACCAGATGCAGAAGTTGCACTCAAAGTTACAGGTTTTGAACAAGGTCAATTGAAAAGGCTGCATTGATGGCTGCATTCTGCTGCATTGATTGCAATGAATATTATTTTGATAGTGTTTTGAATGAAAAACTTTTTGATGATTGAAGTTGAGAAAAACGCGGTTATTTCCCGTTACCTAATACGATTGATTAGTGACTGTAACTGGTTGGATTTCTCACTGTAACTGGTACAAAACCCCACCTCAACTCTCTAACCAACCCTTCTCTAACCAATCTCATTTGTAAAGCTTTTACTCTTATTTCAACACTAACAACTTGTTGTCAATCTCTAAATTCAAATCCATTCAAATGCAATTTCCAGAAGCTCTCGAGAAAGCTGAGCAGCGCCGAATCTCTCTAAAAGGGAAATGCTCAGACGAATCGCAGAGTTGCCTTCACTGGCGATCACAAAACCCAGACATTTGTCGGACATCTCAATCAGCCATGTTGAGAGAGTGCCCAAATATGTGTGATCTCTGTCATTTGGTTTTACCGTAGTCTGCTTTTGATAGAGTTTTTCTAAAAAGTGCTCTTGGAAAAGTGATCGTAATCCCACCAAAGAAGCCAAAACTCTCTTTTCACCTCGAAAAAACAAGTTTCTAGGCAGCTAGCGATCTCAAGATTTTGAGAGTTTCTAATCTGGAAGTCAGCTCAAATATTCTGCTATTTAAAAATCAAATTCAGAATCTAGACGGGATGGCGCAGTGGGAGAACTGAGGTTCCCAGGCGAACGCCTCCTGCTTGGCTCGGGTTCGAGTCCGGGCTGGGTCGAAAATTTTTCAAAGCGCAAAAATGGCAAAAATTAAATGGAAAATTGTCTCATGTGCCCTCCAGAACAGTGAAATAGTCGATAAGATTTGAGAAAAATTTAAAAATGACAGAGAAATCGGGCTGAAGTCAACTTCACCTCTTAAAAAACAAGTTTCTAGGCAGCTAGCGATCTCAAGGTTTCGACAGTTTCTAATCTGGAACGCAGCTCAAATTTTCCGCTATTTAAAAATTGAATTTGAGATCTGGATGGCATGGCGCAGCGGGGAAATCGACGTTTTCAGGCGGACACCCACTACTTGGCTCGGGTTCGATTCCGGTCTCAGTCAAAAATTTTTCAAAGCGCAAAAATGACTTGTAAACAGTGTTCGGTTACGATAGCCAAGCCACTTTTTAGAAAAGATTTCTAATCTAAGTATCTAATTTTAGTCAAATATTGAAATTTTCGATTTTTCGGTGCTTTTTTTGATTTTTTTTGCTTTTTTTGCTATTTTTTCATTTTTTTTGACGGGTTTCTTTCTTTACGAGGCCAATTTTTTATTCTGAATTTTATTCGTTTTTGATATTCTTTTTAAAAATCTTTCAACATCTGTCAACATCTATCAACATTTATTTCAAAATTTCCCCTTCTTGATCTCTTTTTTGTGTGACTTTTATTCGAATCAATAGAAAATAAATGGCTGTACAATGGCAAGAGTGAAAAGGCACTGCTGAATGAGAAAAAAGGGGTTTTTAAAAGTGAAAATTGACAAATTGGAACGCACAACCAAAGGTAAAAAGAGAAAAAATGGATTTGAAAGGAAAGAAATTTTTTTTTAGGGACTTGGGTCGAACCAGCGACCGGAGACAAGTTTTGATTGAAATAAAAAAATAAATAAATGAGAAAACCAGTTGAGCTGTCTTTTATTAGATATAAGATAGTCTAAAGATAGTCTAAAGATATTCAATCAAAATCCAAAGTGATTATCAAGCGAGAGCGGTGGAAGTGGAAGTGTCAGCGCTTTCATTTCAACATTCGAGCATCGATCGAACTGAAACAATCATTAAAGCTTTGTTTTAAGAACTTTAGAGAACTTTAGAGAACTTTAGAGAGCTATAGAGAACTATAGAGAACTATGGAGAGCTTTAGAGAGCCTTAGAAAGCTTTAGAAAGCTTTAGAGAACTTTAGAGAACTTTAGAGAACATTAAAGAACTTTATTTTGAATTTCTCATGTTATAATCAGTTATTTTAAGCATTAAATCTTTTCTTTATACCGTATTTCTTTGTAATTTTATATTGGATGAATGCATTGAAAAGTGTAAGCAATCAAAGTGTAAGCGATTTCGCGCTAGAACTATTGGATTGATGAATTGAAAACCGCCGACTATTGTCATAGGTGACAATTTGAGCACTTTCTTCAAAAGAAACCCATTCTGGTGTCAATGGAAGAGTTGTAGAGAATCAAAAGTGAAGCTTATATCCAAATTTCCAAAAAGATACACTTAACTTAACAAAAAGAAACTTAGTAGTTCCGGTTAAAATTTGTGTGTTCTGTGTGTTCTTTTTCCGGCCGCGTAATCGCTCGTCATCTGGCGCAGGGCTTTTACATAACCCCCTTCCCTCTCCCTTGGCCAAAATCGTCTGACCGATGGCCTGGACTTGTTGTTTCGCCGGAAACGATCAGACGACGATTAAATCAAGCTGGATTATATGCAAGGGCTGCCCGTAAACCTCTGATGAACTCTAAGCACTGGAAGCAGGACTTACCACGGACCTACCGAAGTTGGGCAACACGTGATTGGTCGAAAATGTTAGTTATGTTATTTACCGATGAGGCAAAAATCAATTTATTTCACGCGGACGGAAATCATCTCATTCGGCGACCGACTAGAAAGCGATACACACTCAAGTACATTCGGCCTTCAGTAAAATTCAACGGCGGAAACATAATGTGTTGGGGTGAGAGCCTTTTTAGTCTTTTGTTATCTGACTGTTTTTCTTTGGGAGCTATGTCACGAACTTTAAGCACTGGAAGCAGGACCTAACGAAGTTGGGCAACACGTCGAAAATGTTGTTTATGTTATTTACCGATGAGGCAAAAATCAATCTATTGGTTTGGTGAATTGAAAACTGCCGGCTATTGTCATGGAGGACTGGAGATGTCACAGTTCTGAGCACTTTCTTCAAAAGAAACCCATTTTGGGGTACAAATATCAAACTTGGCTCAAAACACGATAGAAGAGTTAGGCTAGAAACTTCGGCCTCATTTGCTCTATTCTCTTGAAATTGCTTCCTTCGATTAGCACTTGTCTATGCAACACTCTCTATGCAAATCAAAAGTTTCAATCCAGAACATTTTAACAATCCAGAAGAAGTCAAAATTTGGTATTTGGTATAATTTGGCAAGGCAGGATCCCGAATTTCTTCGGGATCCGAATGCCTCGAACAAGCATTCGAAGTCCACACAAAAATCAAAGAGTTTAATGGTGAATATCTTTTGGAATAAAGTTCTTATTCATCTTTTCTAATTGATTTTTGAGTTGTTTAAATGTTGGTTATAGCCTTTTGCAAGTACTTAGTACTTAGTAAATACTAGTACGTACTTAGTACAATGCATACTAGTACGTACTTAGTACAAGTATTTAATAGAAGCTCCTCTCTGCAAGTACCTAAGAAGCTCCTCTCTGCAATCAGCTCCTCTCTCTCCCAATCCCAAACTGGATTGAGCATTGATTCATGCCAATTGGGCATTCATTCATCGATCCCCATTTGATTCAATTAAAAGAAATACAATAGTTTTTACCTGTGCTTCACTCGGAAACGGGAAATCTAGAGAGAAAGCGGGCAAATCGATTCGAGAATCTTGGTGAGGCAGAAAATCGAGTGATGAGGTGGATGAGGGATTGGATCGAGGACAAAAACGATGGAAAGCATCAAGATTTTGAACTGAAATGAAAGGAATTGAGAGAGATTGAGAGAAATCTCGATTTAAAGTCGATTTTTGGAAGTAGACAAGTCACCCAATTAGACCCAGCCCCTTTTCTTTTCGATTGCTTTGCCATTGGCATGGGGATGGCATGGCATGGTATGGCATGGCATAGCATGGCATGGTCTAGGCCGATTTCTCCGTTATTTTATAACTTTTCCAAACATTTCTCTAACTTTTTCTCTTATCTGGAATGCACACAATCTTTTGAATATAAAATCTTTTTGTTAGCTTGAAGTTAAAATTTTTCTTTTTTTTTGACTTTTTGCCATTGGCTGAATAGCTGAATTTGTTTCAAAAAACGTTGAATTTGCTTTTATTTCATAGAAAATTTCATTTCGAGTCATTAAAAGCATATTTCATGTTTTTTTTTTGGTTAAGAAACGAGTAAAACTCATAGATTTCCAATGGCAAAAAGTCGAAAAAGAGAAAAATTTTAAATTCAAGCTAACAAAAAGATTTTATATTCAAAAGATTGTGTGCATTCCAGATAAGGGAAAAAGTTAGAGAAATGCTTGGAAAAGTTTTAAAATAACGGAGAAATCGGTAGGCTATTGAAAGGCTATTGAAATCAGTAGGCTATTGAAAGCGGTAGGCTATTGAGCAGGATTCTATCGTCTCCCTCTGATACTAGACAACCGTTTAAGCCTTTAAAACAAACCTTTCCCTTGTGTTTGGTCGAATGTTTCCTTTGTGAGCGGGATTTCGTTCGTCCATTGAAGAGAAATCGGTGATTGATTTGAATCTAAAGAAATTAAACCAAAATGATCAAAATGATCAAGAAAGGTCGATTTTTGATTGAAATTCGAAATCATTATATAAGATTTATTATATAGGATTTTGAAGCTGTAATTCTAGAGATTTCTAGAGAGTTCTAGAGATTCTAGAGATTTCTAGGGATTCTAGAGAGTTCTAGAGAGTTCTAGAGAGTTCTAGAGATTTCTAGAGAGCTCTAGAGAGTTCTAAAGAGCTCTAGAGAGTTCTAGAGAGTTCTAAAGAGCTCTAGAGAGTTCTAGAGATTTCTAGGGAGTTCTAGAGAGTTCTAAAGAGCTCTAGAGATTTCTAGAGGTCTAGAGAGTTCTAAAGGCTCTAAGAGTTCCCGAGATTCAGAGAGTCAAAGAGCCTAGAGAGTTCTAGAGACAGAGAGTCTAGAGGTCGGTCTAGGTCAGAGGTTCTAGAGAGTTCTAGAGAGTTCTAGAGAGTTCTAGAGAGCTCTAGATAATTTCTACAGATTTCTACACTTAAACCATCCAAATCAAAGCTACTTAGCTTCTTTAAAGAACCATTATGTCAATGTAAACAAATCAAACAAGCTGTGAATGAAACAAACAAACAAATTGTCAACAAAGAACTGTCAACAAAAAACTGCCAACATTAACTTGCCAACAAAAAGCTGTCAATTTGAATTATCCATCAAAATCCATCAAAATCCATCAAAATCATCCATCAAAATCCATCAAAAAGCGAAGGTTTATCAAGTTTAAACTCTAGCTTTTTATTTTCCTTATTCCTATAATTATTTGATATATTCCCTATTAAACCTGGGGATTTCCCGACAGAGCTCGCTTTCCTCGGACGCTCGAAAGTCGCCTCGTGTAATCGATCCGAGTACGAGTTTCTCGCCTGAATAACTTGAAATATAAAAGTTAAATGGTTAAACGATTAGACGGTAGACGGTAGTTAGAGATGTCAAATAACTTTATCTCTCAGTTATCTTCAAGTTCCGACAAGTTTCAGGGAAAGAGCTGGAGTTGACTCTG